ATGGTCAGTCTTTGCTGGGTCACTTGGGAGAGATGGGGACTGATGTTTTTAGAGTCCAAAAACACCCAATGAGACCAGGATTTAACATTACTGATGAAGCTTCCTGGTGCACCACCAGGGTGCTTGGAATATACATAAAATAAAACACATTTTAAAGCCATGTGAATAATACTGAATAAACTATTTTGGCTATCAGTTCAATAATTAATAACATTATTCATTTTTGTAAAATTTAAAAATATTCATTTCTTAAAATAATTCTTTTCCATGGAATTTTGTTTTCCACTAATTTTATGAAACTTCTGAAAACTCTGATGCATATTTCTGATGCTGCTATGATTTATTTAAACCTTTTCTTTTTGACTACCTTCATCCAACTACTGAAAACCCTGATGCAAAATTGCACATGTCCTTGCTTGAAACTGTCATTTTTCAGTAATTATAAATGTGTATAGAAAAAAATTTTTTTAAAAATCCTCAAAAAATACCATAAGTAGTAATTTTCTCTTTTCCCCATCATTTACATCCCATAAGAATTGAAATGTCCGATTGGAAAGAAAGTTTGTGATTTGTAAAACATTAAATTTATTTAAAAACTGCAAGATCTTTTCTTCCAACCAAATAGAAGAGAATGGTGTCAACAATAGAGTAAATTTGGAAGGGCAGAACAATGCATTTTTATTGAGAGATCAAAACTTTTTGATGGTTAGACTATGTATATAATAAGGACATCCTGCAGGTATCAATTTGTACTAATTACTATTTTTACCTAACCAAGCTGTTTATTTTCAACTTACCATTTATTTTGCTGTTTGTTACCATGTATCATATGACTAATGCACTTTAAAAATTTCAATCATTTGTATATAATGTTGATAAGTGTCATCAATGTTCCAAGCATTGTTCAAACAAATACCTCTTTCTTTTCTTTTACTAATCCTACACCTGAAGAAGGCTGTAGAATGAATTGGCTGAAATTTTATGGTAACAAGACAGTCATATTCAATTTTTTAAACAGTTTGGAATTTCAATACATTATACTTAAGGGAAAATGGAAACCAAAAAAGACACTTGTATTTAGAATCAGGAAGACCTAATTGAAATTTCTAGGGTGCATAATGAGGAAAGAGTGCTTGGAGAATTTGGCACTCGTAGGGCATATTAATGTAGCAAGTAACTTACTTTGTGTAAGTTAATGCCAGAAAGGGGATTAGGAGAGATAAAAAAAAGACAAATCTTGCTAAGAGCTACAAAGGACAGGAAGTTGTAGAGAACCATGATTATCCATGTCCTGAAGGGACATGGCACATAAATGAAGATTAGGATACTTTAAGATGGGTTTCAACTCAGCTGAAGATTTAGGTCTTTTAAAATTGTTTGGGAATAGTTCCACATCAAATCCATTGGGGATAAATCTATGACATGAACTAATAAAGCAATACTACAATGCATATTGTAGAGGCTTACTGCCATATCAAATTGAAACACCAGTTTCCATATGATTACTGAAGTTAAGTAATTCTGATCCTGGTCAGTAACAGTGACCATTTGTGAATGCCAGGTGTTATAAGCTTGGATGTGCAAGTGGTGTAATGGATAATGGCTCGGAATTGTTAATAGGAGAGCCGAGTCCCAATTTCAGTCGGGTTCATTATATTCACTTATGTGCAAATACCCTCAGGGGGAAAGGTATGAATCCACCTCTTCTCCCCCCAGCTACAGGTTACTAAACCAATATTATCTCAATAAAAAAGTTCTTACAATCTAAAAAATAATTTCTGGTTTTAAATAACTTGCAAAAAGCTGTAAAAAATGAATGAATCAAGCAAGCAATTTTCTATAATGACTTAAGTATTAGAAAATAAAAAGAAGAAAAAACTACATACGAAAATTTTGCTAAGTACACAATGTTTTTAAAACTGTAATCATATAAATTATTTTTCTTACATTGAGCTAGTCATGTGACAATATGGTTGCCAAACACACCACTTGGCTGAGACTTAATGTTATCTTTTGCTCAGTTATTTAAGATATTACAGTTAAACTTTTTTCAATTTTTACTTTCATTAAAATCTTTAACTTTTAATACTTTGTAGGTGACTATTTTTGCCAAGCAAAATGTTAATCTTGCCAATGCAAGTTGAATTTCTCGGTTGTGTAATCATATCCTTCTATGGCAACACTTAAAACAATCTTGATTAAAATTGGGAGCCAGGCTATTTCAAATATATAGAACTGATATATCAAACATTATATTTTGAGGGGTTCCATATACAATAAAAAGGGAAGTCATATTTATAAATGATGCAGAGTGCTAAATGTTAACCACCAGGCAGCTATAATTTGTTTTTAAGCAAAATTTAATTGTAATATGATGCATGGTAAAACAAATTTTAAATTTTTCTCTTTTGTTTTTGGTTCTCTTCAAGATTACAGTTGCTTCTTTTTAATTCTTATTATTTGAAATGCTTTCCTATTTTTGTTCAGCTCTATGGCAATACAGGCCAAGGCATAACTGCATCCCAGCTTGCAGTAGCTTTAGCTGCCGCTACAGCCACAGGAAGTTCTACTGAAGCCTCCACATCGGGGGTTGGACAGTTGGTCAGTGGTCATTTTCAGTTTGTTTGTTTGTTTGTTTTTTTTTTATCTTTGTAGTTACAATAACATTAAAATCTGCATGAGATGTTTTTCTTATTCATACTAAAATGTGCAGGCTTTGTTTGTTTTTTAGTAAATATAATGCTTTTCACAAAAGATATAGTATGTCTGTTGGTATGATCTTTTCTTTTCTTTTTTTTAAACAATAATACAGGTAGAATGGCTAAATTCTAGGATGTATCTCTGAAAACAGTGGGCTACTTTTTCACTCTTTGTTCTCACAAATCAATACATTCATATGCCTGTAAAATTGTTAATACAAAAGTATAATCAATTGTTAAGGCAGTTAAAATATGAATTTGGATGAATTTTGGTAAAGTGAAGATGAACTCTGAATAGAAATGTACACAGGAAGGTTATTTGTATATTAAAAGTTAAAGTACTTTAGAATATTTATTAAATAATTTATGATGAAAGTCTTTAGTTGTGTCCCAAATTCATATGATGTGAGAGTATATTGCTCATCTGGTAGCAGGTTTTTTTCTTTGACCAGCCAAGTTATCTCTGTTTTTCTTTGCTATTTTTTCTTCTTTTATAATTGAATCCCTAAATGTTGTTTTCTTTCCCAAGTTTTTCATTCCACCTTTTATAACACAGATGCAAATCTATATGCACCAATTGCACATATATATGCACTAGGTCTCTTTGTATGCAAACTAGAAATGAATTACTTTTCAAAACCTTGTTTAATAAAATATGACTGATATTCAGTTTTTTATTTTATTCTTTTATAAAGTAGTGCTGAAGAGCTCCTGATCTGACCAGAAAAAATCCCTTCCAAAAAAAGTGTTGATGTTTCATAATTTGATCAGATTTTGGGAAGTGGATCAGATTGAGAATTTTATAGCACCCACTTGTGCTATCCACCCACTTTTGGTTTTAAATTTTTAATTATTTGTTGAGTAAAGAAATTTCATTTGCCTAAAGTTTTTGAAACTTAGGTTTTTCTTTTGAAATATGGTGAAAAATGTCAAAACCAAATTCAGTAATCCAAAATTGAAACTAACAGTTAAGATGATTTGGTTTACTAAATAAAAAAAAAAAAAAAAATACTACTCAGTCTCCTGAAAGAAATACTGAAGCTCAATTAATTTCCTTTTTTTTTTTTTTTTTTCTTTACTTCAGGATTCGGCAATATCATCGGATGCTACTGGAGCTTCTCCTCCAATTACTAGTGATTTTTTTCAGCAGGCCATTGCCCAAGCACAAAATATTGCTACTCAAGTAAGTGTTGGATTTTGGGAAATTAACAAATTTGATGTACATTGTTTTGTTCTTATTTTCAAATAAGCCCTATATTACGTTTTTTCTTTCTCTTTTTTTTTTTCTTTTTTTTTTTTTTTTTGCTTTCTCTTTTTTTTTTTGCTTTCTCTTTTTTTTTGCTTTCTCTTTTTTTTTTTGCTTTCTTCCTTTTTTTCTTTGTCCTTTTTTTTTCTTTCTCTTAATGAAATAAATTAGTTTAGTCCATCCATATACTATATATATTATCAGTCACTATGAATGATTATTTTTTTTTTTTTTTTTTTTTTTTTTTACAGCTTATCAATCTTTTACAAGTTATTTAAAGCCAGAAAATATTTTAGATTGTAAGAATTTTTGGGAGATGAAAATGATTGGTCCTAATTAACCCATAGCTGGAGAGAGAAGAGGTGGAATTTTACCTTTTCCAAGGGTATTTGCACATAAGTGAATATAATGAACCAAGCTGGAATTTGAACTATGCTCTCTGATTTCCAATTCCAAGCCATTATCCATTACTCTACTACATATCCAAGCTTAGAGCACCTGATATTTCCAAGCAGTCATCTATCTAGGTACTGACTAGGCTTCAGTGATTCTACGAGATCTAGTTTCAACATGATCAGGCCATAAGTCATCACTATGAAAAGTGCAAGTTATTCTCTTAAGAGCTTAAATGTGTCATACTTCAGCCAGTTTCTATTTTGAATGTAAACTGAACAATTATCATCATGCACTCATAAATCCGGTGGCAGAGCAGGAGTTCTCAGCATCTGGGGGTGAACACAATTTTTGCATCCACACTTGAGTATCCAGGAAATGTTTTACTATATGTTTTGTAACTTATTACGCTCTGAATGGCAATAACAAAGAATCAGTTACAACTTTACCCAGTCCAAAAAATAAAGTTTTAATTGTAAACATAATTGTAAAACTGAAACTGGTTCAGAGGGCATAAGGTCATATCATGCTGAAACACTGTTTCTTATATGATCATTGAAGCTGAGCAACATCAAGCCTGGTCAGTACCTAGATGAGTGACCACTTAGGAATACCAGACGCTATCTGCTAGATATCTAGTTCAGAGGGCTTAAGGGCATATGTTGAAACACTGTTTCTTGTACGATCACTGAAATTAAGCAATGTCAAGCCTGTTCAGTACCTAGATGGGTGACCATTTGGGAATACCAGGTGCTGTAAGCTTGGATGTCTTTCAAATTTATGTCATACAGTAATGTTATTTTTCTATGCAACAGTTAGAGTAGATCAATGCTAGATCTCTTGTTAAGAGTTTTAGAACTTGCTTGGAATGCAGTTCATTTTTGATAATGTACATGGTTTATAAAACACAGAAAAAATACTAGATTTTACAGATTTACTTAAATTGACTTAAAAATAGAACTGCTGGTATCGAGTTATAGATGTGTTTTCTTGCTAGATGAAAATTTTATACCCCATCACATGATGATTGTCCCAACTTGCTATATCTCTGATGAATGGCTTAAATCCTGGGTGAATCATACAAAAATCCAATTCATTGGTCAAGAGTTTATGATTACATTATAGGATACATGTACCTGTTTTGTGACTGAAATAGTTAATATTTCTCACTGGTACCAATAATTGGTGTTAAGGACCAGCTAAAAAGCCAGGATTTCGAATGTCCGATTATCTAGGCAATATTTGGAGAATTGTGCTACAATCTTTCTGTTTAGTTCCACTCTTACCATGTGGTGGGATTTATCTGTGAGCAGACTCAAATGGAATGTGGCCAAGTTTAAAGTGGAAGTCAGAAGAACAAAAAAAAATATGGTAGAGTAAATTAATAATACATCTCTGGTTCAGACGTTTTATGTTGAAACACAGTTTCTCATACGATCATCAAAGTTGAGCAACATCAAGCCTAGTCAGTACCTAGATGGATGATCACTTGGGAATACCAGGAGCTGTAAGCTTGGATGTGTGGTTGGTGTAACTGCTTGGAATTGGAAATTGGGTAGTTGAGTTCCAATTTCAGTTGAGTTTATTATATTGACTTATACTCATATACCCTTAGGAAAGGTATGAATCCACCTCTTCTCTGCCAACCATCGATTAATTAGTAAGACTTTTATCAGTAAATCATTATATCCTCTAAATTATGACCAGAAAATATTTTCCTGTTTTAAATAACCTGAAAAGGGTTGATAGTCCACAAAAAACAATCAGTTAATCTAGTTTAAAGTTCTGTATTGGTTTGAGGCTATAATCAACAGGAAGATCATTGAGTACCTAGATAAGAACAGCCTCTTCAGCGACAAAGAGTACAGGTTTTATTTAATTGGCCCAATCCACTGCTGATGCCTGACCTACCATTATTCATGAGACTCTTGACAACAAATACACCAAAAAGACCATAACATTAGATATCTCAAAGGCCTTTGGCAAGGTGTGGCACAAAGGTTAACTGCTCAAACTCTCCAGCTGTGGAATTACTGGAAGAGTCTTCTTAATTATAAAGACCTTCCTATTGGGTAGGTCCCTGAAGGTACTCTGGGATCCTAGCAAACAATGCAGGCATTCTCCAGGGTTCACTTATTGAACCAACTTTCTTTTTACTTTACATAAATGATCTACCTAAGAGTATACTCAGATCATTTGTGAATATCTATGCCAATGATACGATATATGGATGCACTTTCAAAACTCATTATGACCAGAGATTGGCAGCTGATCTCTCATCCACTCTAGTTCTCATTAGGAGGAAAACTGGCTGGTTTGAAAACCAAACTACTTACATTCCTTCATTGCTGATTGGACCCCAAACTACCACCAGTCACAATGAATGGATGTCGCGTCAAGAAGGTTCAATGCCTTCAGAGACTATTGTGCTTTAAACTCGCTCCTGACCTGAAAGATGCAGGAAAAATGGTCAGTTTCCTGTACTGCTCCAGTAAGTACCTGACTCCTTGTGGTATCCTCTATCTTTACAAGAGCCAGATCAAACTTAAAATGGAGTACTGTTGTCATATTTGGACAGGAGCTATCCTGTCCTCACTTTCCAGTCACAATAGAGTCCAAAATGGTTTCAGTGTCCTTGTGGGTGACAAATTATTTTCTGCCCTCCAACCTTTCTCTCACAGACAGGATGTGACAAGCCTCTCACTGCTATATCACTACTTCCATGGAAAGTGCTCAAATAAACTGCATTCTTTGGTTCTGCCAGTTCTAACCTTCATGGCCAAGACCTGCTATTGTGACAAACCACCTTCATTCCCTCTGTATTGCATTGGTGAGAAGAAGGTCCCACTCAAAGAGCTTCTTCCCATGAACTACTACACTGTGGAACTGACTGCTCAGAGAATGTTTCCTTGATCACTACAATCTTAACCTGTTCAAGTCTAGGGTTAACTGTTATCTTCTCTTCCTACCTGCATAAATTGTCTAATTCTGTAACCCTCTACCTTGAGTTGGCCCCGAGCCTTGTACAAAGTAAACCTCACTGTAAAAAAGTAACCCAAAAAAACAACACACATTGTTTTTTTTTTTTTTTTTTTTTTTTTTTTCTTTTTATGGGTTATAATGTTTTATAGGTTATGTATGTTTTTTTTTGGGGGGGTTGCAATTGAATATTGCATTAACAATTTTATGGAGATAACAGGAGTTTTTCAGACACAAGTTCTATATTTTAATCCATAGCTGGGGGGAGGATATGGAGTCATACCTTTCACAAGAGCATTTGCAAATAAGTGAATGTACTGAACACGACTGGAATTCAATCTCAGCTCTCTGATATCTTATTTCAAGCTACTACCCATTACACTACCTGCACACCCCCAGAGTTCTGGAACTAACTTGGAAATCCATTCATTTGTAACAGTGTCCAAGGTTTAGGGTATTCATAGCTACATTAATCTATAGATGAAATTTTCTTGCAAGATGGGAAATTGCACCCCTTCACATTTGCATCTGTCCTTTTCACCATGCTACACCAGCATAAATTCATAATATTTACCTATGAATAAATTTAACAATCTCTTATAATTTTATTGAAAATTGTTTTGTTATACATTGCATTTATTCTTTGAGTTTTCAAAATGGAAAATGCAACACTGAAATCTGAACACTCATTAGACTTGTGATAGAGGCATTCCAAAAGCTAAGCAAAGAAACAAAAAAATTTGCTGGATTGCTATGTGATATCCATTCTCTTAAATCGCAGTAAATGCTGGACAATCTTCCCATTGATGAAGGGAAAACTGGAGGCAACAGAAATATGGTTCTGCAGAAGGATACTGAGAATTCCATGGTCAGAGTGAGTAAGCAGTGAAGAAATCTTATGGAAGATGGTAACAGAAAGAACACTTATGCTCAGAATCAGAGAAAGACAGCTGAAATTCTTTGGACACATAATAAGGAAGGAGTGTTTGGAAAACTTAAACCCCACAGGGCAAATTGAAGCCATGAGAGGATAGAAGGCTGATGAGCTTGTATGAATGGATGGTGGAACAGAGGGTGGGAGGCTTAGCAAAAGGAGAAAAACTGTTAAGTGCCACAAGAGTTAGGAAGATGCAAAGAATCATGATCACCCATGCCCTGCACATAGAAGAATAAATAGTAACTTGTTGCTTTAACATGAAATCTCAATATTCTAACCAAATTTAATATTGTTGTCTTCTGCATAATTTAAATTCTTCTAATTTTTTTTTAATAATTATTGCATATTTGCATAACATGTTTTATATTCTATGTAAATTATATATTGTTTAAATATTGCTTATAATATTCAGAATGTATTTTTCCATTTTTCAGACTCAGCTCCAACAATTAAGAGATATGGGAATTACAGATGAAGTTTTGGCAAGACATGCTTTACAGGAAGCAGGTGGAGACATTCAAGGTGCTTTGGAGTATATATTTGGGGATGGTGGTGGTATGTAAAAGTCAACAATGTTTACAAATTTTGTTTATCTTTTTAATTACCATTACCAATGAAGGATAAACTCTTTATTGATTGACAAAAGAAACAAAATCAGTCATGATATGGTTTTAGCCCATGTTCATTTATTTGAAGAATTTCTGTAAGGCTTTAAATTAATAAAAAAACTTTAAAAAATATCTTAACATTGTTATTTTAATTTTAAAAAAAAATGTGTTTGTTCTCTCGTTTTTTTTCCTATGCTATTTTTCTCTCACTCACTCACAACATTCACTTCTGTTAGTTCTCTCCCCTGACATTTTGTGTTGCAAAGTCTTGAATTTTTAGGTCAAGTAACCACTTACTCTCAGTTCTTAAATAAAGGGGAGGCTTGGAAATTAAAAAAAAAAAAATCTGTGTGGAGGGTCTGAAGAGGGACTAGGATTAGTCTAGTTAAGGGGTCCCCAAAGTGGGCAATACTAAACCAGGGAATGCTGGTGACACACACACACACACACACATATATATAAGTGTCAGTATTGTGATGTTTTACAATGAAAACTCACCAATTAAAACAATACTCACCAATCAAACATTAATGTCCTTGCTATTGCTTGTTAAACATATCCTTCCCACTAATGATGTCAAACAATGCAATTAAAAGTTATATTAATTTATTTTTAATGTGTTTATTATTAAATATAGTATTTATAAAGTTTATTATTATCAAACCAAAATGTTTTTAACTCTTTAAATTAATTTTCTGTAGTTTTACATTGCCTTTGAGATTTTGGTTTTTTGTTCAGTTGTGAAATTTTTCAAAGATAATTTTCCTCTATTAATCAAAGTTCTGAAAAAAGAAACAACAATATGAAAAATATGACATTTTTAAATACTTAGGTAACTTTTGGGAAACTCTGTATGGATGTTGTTGGAATTTTTTTTTTTTCAAAAATTAATAAGCACTATTATTATAAACCTGGGAAACGAGGATCAGTTTTTGATTTCACATGTTCATACATGTCTCAGGATTGGGATTTTCCCAAAACTATTTTTGCTTTTGAGTTTTTCTTTTTTCCACTTCCTATTCAGACAATTGTTTGAATAACTTTAATTTACATATTGTTTTGATATTTTATAAATGGTTTTCAAATAAAATTTATTATTATCCATATTCAAACAAACATGTCTTGTTTAGGAAGAGAAATAGAATTTGAAAAAGCAATAACAAAACATAATGCTAAAATGAATCTTATTGAGAAACAATGAAGGAAAAAGGCAAAGGAATTTTGATCCTTAAAAAA